CAATACAATATGAATTAAAAAAAAGGGCCCATAGGGCGCCAAATCAGGATAATGAAATCAAATATATATATATGTCGATTGGCCTTATTTTTACGTATACGCAAGGTTAGTTCAATGCAAAACGAAAGGTACGAAAGTGAGGTATGGATTCTTGTTGTTCTTCTATCTATTTCTGCATAACTTAGGGCTGTTTAGCTTGTCATAGTTCCTTCTAAAACTCTCTTTGCGGTCTATTGGCATGACACTAACGCTGTCACAGACCCTGAAAAATTGGCTTGTTTTGTTATCAAGTAGATCATACATGTCATTGATAAAATTATCATCTTGCTTCCAAATTTTCATAAACCATGTTTGCTGGTTTGTGTTGACTGGGGAAGTGGGCATTTCTCGAGCTGGTAAATCAGTGTATTCACCCAAAGAGTAAACAATCCTGTTGCCAGGTTGAGTAAGTTGAAAAGGAGGTTGTGGTGTTGGACGATATGTTATATCATCGTCGGGTTCCTAGTGATTTCTTCGAATTCTTGAGAAAAGGTGCTTTTGTTGTACTGGCTGTGTGTTGGTCACTATTTGATCGTGATGCTGAGCAGCCTCCATAGAATGATGAGGTTCAGCCTGTGGTGGGAGTGAGGGCTTAGGATAGTGTAATTGTAGTTGAAGGTTTAAATGATATAGAGGATGCAATCGGTGTTGATGTAGATGCGATAGTAGCGGAGTTTGATGTGCGGGAGGTTGTAAAGACGGTTGTGGTGGAGGTTGTGGAGTTGTATCATACTCATCACCCGGGGCAATAAAGTTTTCGTCACCACGTATCTTAATTATCCACTTGCTTAAACTTGTACGATACTCCTTAAAGCCGCGTCTTTTAAACGCTTCATCAAAGGTTTGTTTCTATGGACTTGCAATTCTTTCAAACATTGCCTCTGTCCAGTAACCAAAATAGTCTAAAGGCTCATCGTAAATTGCTGAGGGGCTGTACACCTCTGGAATTGAATCTCAGTCTGCAACAAATGCCATTGCAAATGAAGTGATGGCTATGGAAGAGGAGTCGTTAAGAATAGCTTCTTTGTTCCAGTGTTCAAGTGACAATACTTGTGGACCCTTTTTCCTGTATGCGACAGTTGTGCCTTCAGTAAAATCGAGCAATACTTTCTCCTGGTGATCCGAATCCATGTTAGAAAATAATCCCTCTGCCTTTGGTGTGTAGAGCGTTTCTGGTGAATTTTCAGACAATGACTTCTGGCCGGGAAATTCTTGTGAACTGGCCATTTCTAAAGAACGAGAAATGATTAGAATACTTATCGAATGGTAAAAAAAAGGGAAAATTTTGTTGCAATAAGTGATGCGCAAAAAGGCGGATGTTTATTGCAAAGTGGCGCGGGAAAAAACTCAAATAGATCGTGGTGTAAACTGATGAATAGAAAAAGTTGGAGTCAGTGCCGGTGGTGTTATATTGTTGTTCGTGTGGATGACACGAATCAATCTGCTGGGAAATGCTGCTTCAACCAGTAAATTGATCTTTCTCGGTCAAATCGAAGGGGCTATTATCTCCGCGTGTGGCAGTCGAGTATTCGATTTCGCGATGTATTAGCACTTGCAGGTTCCCCCACTTGTCGTGGCTTACACAGAAGATCGAGTCTTCTGCCCAGAGGAGAGTGTCGAAAGGAAATGCAGTCTCTCCAATCTTGCTGTTCTGTAGTCGCCTGTGGACTACTAATCAGTGTCGATTGAACTAAACTTACGTATACGTAAAAATAAGGCCAATCGACAATATATAATTCATTTCCTTGATTTGGCGCCTTGAGGCCCATGCAGGTTCTTATCGGAAGATATGTACTTTAAGTAGGATGACTCGACTTGACATTTAGAACACTCACAACCAGATTTCATTTGCAGATACCACTCGAGGTTGACCCTTAGGGCGTATAACTGTTACGGGCTAGGCCCGGCTGGGTTTTGGCTGGGCTGTTTAAGGCTATAGGGCCCATCCTTAACTTGAAGGCTCAAGCGAGTTTGTAAATCTTCTCACTATACGGGAGTATTATCAGATCACGTGTTAAGGGGCAAGGGTATCTGGAACAGGCATTGTAGTTAAAAAGAGCCATAGCTTCCCGCTCGTAATTTCCTCATAGATAATATAAACATTTAATTGTGGCATTGCTTTCGTGCATTGGTCGAAAGTCCTAGCCCGTCACAACAACCTCTTCCGTGCATACCCACCACAGAGAAAAGCGTGAAAAACCTGCGGTTTTCCGAGTGTGCTTTCATCATCCCACAAATACCATATCATCGTGTGGGATGGCGCAGTGGTGTATAAACTGGAATTGTTTCCCCAGAAAATTCATGTGCTAGATAGTCATAGACTCAAGTAGCACAATAAACACAAATACACCACCACTCCATATAATCGTGAGATAGAGTGCTGTGGGTATTTCTGGGTCCGAACTAGCTTTCTCTTGTCTCAAATGGGGTTAGTGATGAAGCTACTTAGCGCTTCCTTGGGAGAACGGCTCGAATGGTGTACCACTGCACCATCTAACCCTCTGTCCGCTATGTAGACCTAGACCTATCTCCTGGTCTTAATTCCTCAGCGCCAACTTACGTCATCCGACCATAGCAGTATTTATAATGTCGCCAGCTCTCTTCCAACTGAGACCTTACAGTAAGCACAAATCTCAATTCGTAAAACTCCTTGCTAAAAATAGGAATTTGACGTCCATCAAGGTTATATCTTTTCACGGCATCGTCTTTTGGACTTGTCCAGATCATATTATGCCAATCCCAAAGAAATGGCACTCATATTTGTGCGCCACGATCTGTTTCCTCCAATGGATTTACATATCGACCTGTGCATGTATTTGTTGGCCAGCTGAGGCAAATGAGAGTCAGTGAGAGAAATGGTCATTGAAATGAGGATATATCAACTCGTACTTGTATACATGGTTATTTTTGCTAAAAATTAATGTTGTTTGAAGTGAGAGAATGACTTTGTGGAGTATTTTGAATAATTACCCCATGTTACAGGCTGCGCCTATCTCCTAGTGACTGTCGCACGGACACTTATCATCATTACGTCATTAGCCTTGCTATCTAAGGAGATGTCCAACTTGGCCACACAATTACAGGGTTGCAACAAAGATGGAAGGAGGGCAAGACTGAACACCTGTCAGTGGTGCTCTCTACGAACCTGGGAGTGAAATATTCTCCCAGAGCCAAGTTCAGTCGAATTTCGCAATACCGAACAAGTTGGCCCACGAGGCAATGATTCAAATAACTCCACCACGTCAAATTTTCATTCCAAAAAAGATCGAATCCTACCTAAGCTTCATCAAGTCTACAAGTACGACCTAGTACATCCTCATCCCAATGACCACACCTCTCTTCGACCTTCTCTGGTCTCAGTTGACCACCAAATACACGCCCACGCCGATATTTATACCCGACGGAGGAAGCAAAGCGTGGCGCACAAATCTGGGAGACAGTTCTTTGGGATGGACGTGAGAGGGATCAGGACAAGTTTACAAGATGATGCAAAGGAAGGATATAACCTTGAAGGGCGTGAAATTCCGAATATTGGCAAGCAGTTTTACGAATTGGGCTTTGTGCGCGCCAAGACTTCGCTTGCGAGAGTGCAGCTAACACTATAAAAACAAGCCGACGATGGAAGGTGTAGTGATCCGTCTCTTGGTGGTGTTCTCTGGTATAGTTTGAGTAGCCTGGGCACCTACTCCACTTGGGAAGGAGACATCTCAGATTACATTTCGCGCGAAGAAAATAAAATGGGTCATGGAGGCATTTCTGGATAACTCAGGGGTTTTGAGACGTTCCCCTTAGTGGTCATTCACGGATGAGGATTGACTTGGGGTGAAGAAAAAGCCACCATAACTTCGCAGTGGTACTTGCGAATGAAATCTGAGGCATGAGTGCTCTTCCTTTACGTTGAATCATCTATTCTATACTTTTCTTTGATATTGTGTCAAAGCTAGATAGCTGCATACGCAATTCAAATCTGATGCAAAAAAAAAATATTAATTACCACTGAATTGTGTTCAGCCTCCGCTCTTCAGATCAAAAGTTGATAGTTTCGCTGTCATTATAGCTATTACTATTGGAGGAAGTAGGTTGGGCTGGGTAGTCGAAACCTTAAGTATAAAAACTCATTTGCTATTGATATACATAGACATGCACCCTGAGAACTTGGCTTTGTAAGCTTCCCATTAGAAGCCATAGGTCTGGCAGTATTATATCTGTTGGCTATTGTGCCTCCTATCTCTTATTCCTCGTTCATTAACGCATAAAATAATTTGGCGGTTTTTGAGTCATTAGACGCTCCGTTTTATTCCGACACGCATACTCTCCTAGTCGTGCAAGCCAAAGGACATGCGCTCCAGATTTATTGATTGGTTGATTTAAATTTAAGTCTCTACTGAGTCCTAGACTATGAAAGTCTACTTAAAGATCTACCTAAATAGCTCTCCAATTAATAGGTTAGTTTTTCATTTGAATATTACAATTATACGCCAGTTGATCCTGAGGGTCATGCCCTACATACGCTCCAGAATTCCAACCACTAGACAATTCTTTTGCGAGATTATTTTGATCCATCATTCACAAGATTGCGGTGCTTAAAAACTCGCTCGAATTTTTTGGTGGAACTTACAAACAAAAAAACCGAATCTTGACAAAACGATTGTCTCAAACCCTATCCTGTGTTACAAGCTATTGCCTTGTGGATGGGATCCGGAGTTTATCCGGCTCCTATGAGGTGATTATGTCAGCGATAAGCGAGACAACAGGTAGGGGGTGATCCCACAATTGCGTAGTTTCCACTGTGGGCACAAAATAGCCCCATTTTGGATACACTCGTGCGGACAGCTATTTACTCTGGTGCCATCCTTTCACATCTAATTTGTATTCATTCGGAGTCCGCGAAACTAAAGAAACAATGGATTTGGTTAATCAGTGAGAAACCTTCAAATCCTAACTTGGAAGTGCTCGAGCGCATGGGCTTCCAGCTGACTCATTCTAGTCTCGAGGGTCGACTTTTGTTCGCTGTACCTAAAAGTTAGACGGTTTATTTCTGTCATAGAAAATCACTAACTTATGTAGAGGGTCGACTTCTCCAAGCTACATTAGATCTTCTCAAAGGCGCGGATATCAAATTCAGGCGAGAAAACCGGCTCGATATTGCACTTGTTGTCAATCATCCCATTGCTTTGGTATTTCTTCCTGCTGCAGATATTCCAACATTTGTTGGTGAAGGTAGGGTCAGTCTAGGAATTACAGGGCAAGACACAGTAGCAGAACATGCATCATCATTACTTAAGCAAAGGAAAATACGACAGGAATCCCTCAATGTAAGTCAAAGCGACTACGATGATGGATTTGGATGTGAGGAGATAATGGATTTGGGGTTTGGGACGTGTAAATTGCAGGTCCAAGTACCCGAAAAGGGAGAGTATGTCAAATCATCTGACCTGATTGGAAAAAATATTGGAACAAGCTTTGTCCATTTGGCTGAAGATTATTTCTTAAAACTCGAATCTGAGGCAACGGAAAAGGATGAAAAGGATCCCAAATCATCTTTGAAAACAAAAATCATTGAGTTAAGTGGCAGCGTAGAAGCAGCTTGTGCTCTCGGAGTTGCAGATGGGATTATTGATCTAGTTGGTAGGGCCACCCTGCGAATGCAACTCCACGCTCAGCTGACATCATATAGAATCTGGAGAAACAATGAAGGCCGCAGGTCTTAAGGCCGTTGATACCGTAGTTTCTAGCACAGCAGTCTTAATTAAGTCCCGAAACTCATCCAATAATCAACTAATAGACATGATTGCGTCACGGATCCGAGGTGTTATAAGTGCGTCATAGCTATATCAGCCATTTATGCCTAAGCTAATCTATTTAGCTGCTCAAAGATTTGTACTTTGCCAATATAACATGGAGCGTGCCATACTAGACTCTGCATTAAAAATTACACCTGGAAAACGTGCACCAACAATCAATGCGCTAGAAGAAGAAGGATGGGTGGCTGTGAGCGCCATGGTCGAAAAGAAAGAAATTGCAACAATCATGGACCAATTAGCAAAGGTAGGTGCAACAGATATTTTAATCCTCAACATCGTGAACTCTAGGGGCATTTAAAATCAATCATGTGTTTTGTTGGGAGAAAAATCTCGGCAGGCGCAAATAGATGACATGTTGAAATTATGGAGTACAGAGATAAGTCAGGTGATGGTTAATGGCAGTTATTGATGAAAGGTTTGGTTGTTGAGTTTCCTATTATTTCTGTGTTGGGATACACTTTGTCGATTCTACTAGGCTCGATCATTAGTAGTCCCGATCGACTGGTGTTTGGCGAATGGAGATTGCGTATACCCTGTGTTAGCCTTTTTATTTTTTTTATTTTTTTTATAAATCATTTAATGTGTATTCAGCTATCTAGCTAGGAGACATGACCGGTGCTATGTATACATGTAGGATGACTCTTTTGACGTTAGAGACACTCATACTCTGGATTTCTTTCGCAAATACAATCACGAGGTATGCTTGCTTACACAAACAGTCGACCCTCCTCCGTTAGTACCCACCAAAGGAAATTTCGAAACCTTTGGTTATCCAAGCATGCCTTCGTCATCCATGCATACCAGCGCCGCGAGAAATGTGGTTGTGTTTTGCCGGATTCGAACCAGCGATCTACTGTCTCGAGTGGGATATGTGTCAAAGCTATTCAGACTCTAATTGGCAGACCGGCCAAGATGATGTACCACCTCACCATCCAAACATGGCGATATTTATAGTGTCACCTGCACTCTTTGTGTTAGCTTTGTTTACCGCTGTTAACAGGAGGTCCCGCACGGGCTATCTATTGGGATTAAGGGGAGTTTGGTACCTGTGATTAGAAGAGTAGTCGGATTGACACCCTTTTATACTTCATGATTGCATAGGCTTCCATCTACCAACAAGTTCACGAGCTAAGTACTCGGTTGTACATTTCAATATGAATTAAAAATGTTCATCCTTATCCAAAATTATCTCAAAGTCACAACTGAGCTTTCGCGGTAGAAGAGAGATAAGTAAACAAATTGAAGTACGCTACCAAGAGATATGGACCAACTACCATGTAGTATGTGCTAAGGTTTAGCTGAAGAGAGTGGGTAGTAATAATTTAGGGTGCAAAAGATTACAATGCTCTATTTACTTTGATTGATGAATACAGTAACACACGCCACCTAGATATACACTCATGATGAATATCAGTCATGTTTACCCATGATTATTTATCACAGCAACAAGCAAATAATCTCACTCAACTCTAACCTTCACGAATTAAACATGCAAAATTCATGGTGTTCTATTTCGTCCAAGTTTGGCGCCTTGATCTAAGCCTACAAAGCGTATCAACATATAGTAGGCACTTAGGCACAATCCACAAGAATTTCTTCTCTATATTTATCCCGCTCTTGTTATCCACAACCAAAGGGAAGAAACTCCAAATATTGTAACAATGCACCATAAAAGGTGTTAACTCGTACACTTGCGAGAAGACAATCATACAGGAAATCTCAAATTGTCAGGGAGCGAACATTAAATTTTCCAAAGGGAAAAAAATTATACCTAATTAATAGATAGAATCTATTTGGATAAAATAAGGCCGATTATTGTCGAGGAATCCCAAGGGAATAGGAAGTTGGAAACTGAAAAATTCAAATTGACTATCACCAACAGCACTTATTGACCTCTCAAGGACTCATAGCGCGCTCACCACTATAAAACTAGGAAAATAAATTTTCTAAAACCAGAAAATATCTAGTAAATGAGACAACAACTTCGATAGAGAAGAACTAGCGCATGGACGATCTTTCAGTAAGATTCGTTGATCCAAATTCTATGAAAGTTCCGGAGATATTTTGAATGATGGAAGTGAACGTTGGCCATGAAGTCAACACTGTAGGGATCGTCAGTTTCTGGAGATTTCGAGATCAGAGGTAAAGGATCAGTGCATGTGTGTTTTTATTGTACTACTTGAGTCTATGAATATCTAGCACATTGGGCTCCTCTCCAACCCAGGCCACACCTTGTACAGTGCTCCTATCCTCTTTTTTTACTTTAAAAATCATTGATATATTCCCCTTGATAAATAGCCATCCAGCTCATTATTTACCCATGGAATTCGGCCACCTTTTCCACAGAACCTTCTACCCAAAAAAAAACAAAAAGGTGAAATGGAAACTGCGTGTGCGGGAAAAAGTCTCAAAAAACCTGCAGCCCCAGCCAGGCGAGGCCTAGACACCAGGACTACATGAGGAGCGTATATCCATCTAAATCTTACTTCTTTGTAATATTAGAGGCCGACTTGATCCGATCCGCCATCTCCGTCTCGGGTGCTGGGTACGCTCCGGAAACTCATCGGATGGCTTTTCCTTCGTGATCAAGGTTTGGTGATGAGTAGAGCTCCGACCCTACCATCTGATCTGATCGTGGTTAGCTTCATGATAATGGTGATAGGGGAATGTGTTGAGAGATGAAGACGATACAGACCGCGAAAGCGATTTGGAATCCTCTTCGAAGTGAGGACCTTGTTACTCAATCTCGGCTCTGCAGACTCTACAGTGAGAGCTGGAGGTTCGTAGGGGACACCACTGACAGGTGTTGATAATAGTCTCCCATCTGGTACCTGTGATTAGAAGAGTAGTCGAACTAACATCCTTTTACCCTTCATGATTGCATACGCTTTCCTCTACTAGCAAGTCCATAAAATAAGTAGTGGGTCATATTTATAATAAAATGTAAAGTTAAAGTATATTGATGGAATCTCTCATCTTAAGGAATCCTCCGTATACACACATACGTCTCCTGGGAATATCTACGCGTGATGACGAAGTACATGAACGTCTTACCTCAGTGTATCAGGACTATTCTCTAGAAATATTGTGATTCTACTTGAGACTGCCCTCAAACATCCGAGTAAATATCACAACCCGAAACTGTCCTCAACTTTACACTATGACTCATAAAACGACGTAGTTTGACCGAAGTTAAAGCTTCCTAAATATCTCATGTTTGACAGGAGGAAACCAATTCAGATAACCCCCCCAAAAACTATCTATCTCATATCAACTGATTTTCCTGGGGTTTCCTGTGGTTTCCTATGGGAGATTTGTTTAAACTATTCATACAGTGTGAATTCTGTCCTGTATTTGTCCACATCATTTTTATTGAAGGAAGATATGGCCAGAAAACTGTACTGCTGGTAAATGCCTATAGCTTATTTGGTGTGCTTGTAATACTGACTACTGAGTTCTACACTTGCGATACATTCTACAGACCCTAGTTTAGCCCAGTTTATAAATCAAGTCACATGTCTTCTAAGGCTCAGTGAATGATACTTCAACAGTTTTATTTTTTCTTCTTGATTGGGGGCTCCATAGACAGAGCGGTGGAGAGGGACTGCTTGATCGTCAGTCTTGAGGTAGTGGAGGTCTCATATCCTTTTTTTTTTCTTTGGCTTAAGCTTATCCATCATTTTCTGTGCGAGGTTTTACATAACGAGACGTAGCTCTGTATTCTAGACTTTTAGTAGTCCCATGATGTCTGGAGCTCCTGCTCTAGTGTCCTTTGCCCTTCATAGAGATAAAACTGCGCGTGCCTAAAGGCCACGCGCAGTGATAGACGTTAAATAATATCATCATTGTATTTTCTTCCATTACTATCGCAACTTCTACTGAAAGCCGGAATTGTTCAAACCAGCCTTTTGCCAGGATCCATTTTGTAATTCTCTCCATATCATCTGGGCTGTTCATCATTGGCGTAAAGAACCTATCTTTTGCCTTTTAAAGCATCTCTCCTCTTCCAATTGTTAACTCAGGATACACCAAGACTATCTGTTTGGTATTTCGAGACGTATATCCATACTGACATTTTGGATTAATCACTCTGGGGAATTTCCTTCGATGCAGATGAGAATTGGGCCCAATGTGCTCACTTCTTATCTGAGCTGCATTACTGTATTGGGTTCTGCTAAGGTTTCGATGGATATTTGAAGGTATGTTCCTATAGGTTATCCTTTTTCTGTCTTTTGTCTCATCTGTAACGATATTTGCGGCTTTCCAATGTTCAGGGTCTGCCGAAGCTCAATGACCAGATAGTTTCTCGTTCCCTGGATGTGACCATGAGTTTTTCCACTCCTGGAACGCTACCACCCTACCCGAATCTTTTTGTCTACCTTTTGCATTTTCCTTGCCACTAATTCTGGTCCATTCTTCAATATCTAGCTTTCGATTTTTGGTGTGCATATTCTCAGTTCCTCTTATGGTCTGCTTGACTTTACTTCATGCAAATAGTATCGTTCTCTTGGTAGGTTTTCTTTCTGATAGTCCAAAGTGTTGGACCCTCCTTTGTTTCAGGTAGATATCTGTAGGTAGAACCGATGACTCGTGTTCTAGTACCCTGCTTCCGGTAGAGTTATATACACCTTTTACTAGCTTCAAGCATTTTTTTAGATACTTTGCAGTGGCTTCACTCTGCTCTCTGATATGCTACGCGCTGGTCCAGCTGCAGACCATATAGGACACTAATAAGTCAGGGCTGGTCATACTACTGTGCTAATTATTTTTTTAACATCATGCCAGCGCACAGCACGTGAGCTCCTAACGTACCGGATATTCCAGTCTAAATGAAATCACCCGACGTATTGGCACTGACACAGACCCAACAAAGCAAATAAAAGCCAGGATCTTCTCATCCTACGATCAAAGATTATAGTATACATGGATGTCTTCCTACAGAAGATCCTCATGCTATACAGTTGGTACTAAATGAAGAAAATACTTTACAAAAAAATGATAAGAAATTGTTTATATCAAATCGTGATTTCGTTCGAGTCACTTGTCGTTGTGCCCTTTAGAAGAAATTTGTGGCTAGTACCCAGCTATTATATGCATGAGCTCTCTCCGCTGAAGCAAGAGCCTAAGTACGCTGGGATTAAAACTTTATGCTTCATGGAGCTGAATATGGTATCGTCCAAGGTGGCAATAGAAAAACTGGTTGAGGTACTTCTCTTCTCCGCATGAGCAGGTGAGGATAGCGAGTTTATGCTGAAATCTACGGTGATTGTCCGCGAAATCGCCATTTCTAGACCGTGC